TTTCCCTATTCCAGAAACGCTGAGAAGGGGGAGTTACAGTAGACAAATGTGAAGCATGGACAACCTCAAAGCTGTCTTTTTAAGCAAGAAATGAGAAAATTTAAAAGGATAGGGTTGGAAAGGAGGGAAGGAGGGAATTCAAAAGCCAGATCATTGTTTAGCTTCTCTTTTTTAAATGTTCACACTCATTTATACATCTGCAGAGGTTTCACTTAAAGGGAAGTTCTATGTGTGTTGATCTGACTGCATTAACAAGGCTTAAGTTCCTCTTTTAGACAATGTTTCCCACAGAGAATTCAGGGACCCTTGAAGTCAGTATCCCTCTTGAGACGCTGCTGGCTTTGGAAAGGAGGAAATCAGGGTATGGGGATATGTCAAAAGGTGCGTCTAGTTGTAGGATAGGGAGAAAGGAAGGAGAAAGAGAAAAACTCAAGGTCTGAGAATTCACATTGCAAAAGAAGACTAAGTGGTGCGAGAAGGGAGAGGAAAGAAGGATGAAAATTGCAGGGGAGAAGAGGCATGAAATGTTGTCAACTGCCAAAGGGCATCTTGGAGAGAAGTTGGGAATTGCTTCAAGAAAAGCATTGCAAATCTCATTTCTGACCATTTAGAGATTTGCCTCCCCGGAACCGAGAGCCCAGTCTGTATAGGTTCACATTGATTCCCGTCCCATCCTTTCCCTAATCAAATCAATTATGAAATATAACTCCATGAACCAGTGATATTAAAAACCTTCAGGGTCCACGCTTGCTAAATATGTCAGTAACCAACACTGGTGTGTGTGTGTGTGTCTTCGGAGCCAACACTACTGTCAAACTTGGCAGAGCCAAGATGTGGAGTAGAAGAAGACTGCAAAGAGGATACAGAAGTGGGGTGGGGAGGGGGACAACGATCAATACATTGGTAGCGGGAGGGTAGTGAAAACGGTCAGAGCAAATATTTTTAAAGGGCTGGGGAAGAGAAAGTCGAGAACAGCGAGCAGGTGCAGGACATGGTCAGAGTCCAGACAGAGCTCAGGGCGATGTGGCAGGTCGGTCGGGATGCCCGGCTGGGCTCAAAGAAGGGCGAGCAACCATTAAGGCCTTTCGGAGCGGCGGGCGCGACACAGCCCGGGCGTCCCGGGTGCGCCGGGGAGGCTGCGGGGAGCTGCGGTGGCGGGACGCGGGCAGAGGGGACTTGGGGGAGCGGCCGAGCCCGGGAGCAGGGTGGGGGTCTGGGCTGGGCCTGGGGCGGGCCGGCGGAGAAGGCAGGGTGAGGAGGGGGACCGCGGGGACCGCGGACGCGAGGGGCGGCATGTCACTCACCCCGTTGGCCGCGGCCATCTGCACCACGATCTCCGTGGCCGTCC